CATAAAACATCCCTGAATGAATTGATCAAGTTATACTGTGTCATTTATCCGACAGAATTTTTAATGGAATCGTAACACCTTTCTTGCTAGCCCATGCTATTTATGATTTAAGAAAATATACAAGATATAAATATTTAAAATAAATTAATAAGTGTCCCCTATCTAACCATTTAAGCTTTCAGACGAAAAAGTTCATACTATTCAACATGGCACTAGAGCAAGCAAAAGTCCTGGATCAAGTCTCACCGCCATCCATAAATAAAAACATTTGTGACAGGACTTAAAATAAACAAATAAATGTGTCCCTCTCTAACGTTTTGAACTTTTCAATAAGGAGTACATGCTATTCAACAAAGATAAGATTATTTGGTCTAGATCCAAAGTGTGCATAAAATACCCTTTAATAGATTAATCATCCATCATCTGTCAACCTTTTAAAGGAATAATGACCTCTCAACATTCAAAAGCATCTAATCACCTAGATCATGCAAAATATCGAAAGCAAAAAGGCAAGCCAAATATCATATAGAAGTGACACCCATCAAGCATAATAACAAATAATTTTACAGTGTCATAACAGTATTCCTATTATTATAGGGATGAACAACCTAAACTCCTACCAACCTAACTTGCAATTAGCATGTAAATGTTAATTAAAGATGTCTAACTTGATCATAATTGTTAGACATGAATAAAAGTCTGGATTGACTTTTAGCTCCAAGGTTAGAGCAATACACCTATAATAGCAAATCCGTGTGCTAAAACAAATATTATATCTCTTCACTTACTCTTCGAGCATCCAATAGCTGCGCCTTTGGAAATTCTCATTCTCTTCTCCATGGGCATAGTAGCAGTGCAATACATCAATGCTTCCAGCCTGTAAGAACATTAATTTCTGATCAGCTTCGTAATACAAGAACAAAGCCCTAATAGAATGATAATTCCGTGAATGTCTAGCATTCGAATTAAGTGCAACAAGTACGCCTCAATCCCAAACTAACATTTTCAAATCAAGGACATATAAATTTAATAGGCTTCTGCACAACCATAAGGTTCCCATCAGTTTTACCTTGAGCCTCTCGTGAGCCTCCTTCACAGTCTTCCCATCTTTTTTCTTTCTCCAGCTATGGCCATCTTTGCGAAAATACCGCAAAACCTTCCGATCAAAAAGAAACAGTGAACCACCTGGAAGGGCCATACAAGTCAACTTAAAATAAAATACAATAAAAACGTTGTGGATTCCAGGAATAGCTACATACTCTCAAAAGCTATACAAACATAAAAAGCCATATACGAGCTGGTGAAGCAGCTGTGAAAACAAGTTTAATGAAGAAATGTAAACTTATTTATCACTATCATGCCATCAGTTAATTAATAGGTGATTCTCACGCAGGTTAATCCTGATAATTACATATCATCACATCAGACTTAGGCTTAGCAGCTTCCAAACATTACCCATCATCCAGTAAATAGACTCAAGAAGTCCTAAAAGCGGGGAAAAGAGTACGTAGAACATAATCTTGATTACGTAAGATGACGGTACTTACACATACGTGAGACAAACTAACAGTCTTAAAATCAACCGGCAGGCCCATGAGAGTTATATTGACAGGGGAAACTAAAAAAAGAAGATGTTTGTAAGCAATTTTCAAGAAGTTACTAATATTCGGCTAGAAGTTCATATATTTAGTGCATTTCCGCCCGTATCTTGTGAATATTTGTTGTGGTTTGAACAATTATTGGTGTATTTTGAGCTCATTACGTGCTTTATATGTGTACGAGTGATTTTGGATGAAAGCGGCATAAAAAGGGAGTTTTTCGGCACAAATTGGAGTTGAAGGCATAAGAGAAAATAAGCTGAAAAGAAGACGTCAGCCTGGCTCGCTTCGCGAGCAGGCTTGGCCTCCAAATGTGTTGAGAGATCCTGCAATCCAGTGAAGCGAAGCCATCGTGAGCCCCATCACCAGACCTGCTCAAAAGAAGCTTAGAGGTGGACATCAAGGTTCTCGCGTTCTGCGAGCACAGAAGACGTGCGCTCCAGGTTTTCCAATTTGAGTTGAGATTGGACCAAAACATCTCCTACACCTATAATTACACCCTAAACTCGATTTTTACACAACTTTTAACCGAGGGAGAGTAAGGAACGGTCGTGGAGCTTCAAGTTCATCTTTTCTTCCTCCAAACCTGGAGTTTTTATGTTTTTTGGGATGATTTGTCGTTTGGCTACCATGTCTATGTGGAGCTAGACTTTACGTTCTAGTGTTATAGTTCCTTCATGTCTATTGTTGTTTGAATATTGATTTTGGTTTCTTGATAATCATATTAGTTTATTTACTCAATCTTGTGGTTAATTATCTGATTTTTTTATCACCAATTGAATACTATCTACGAATTAGGGTTGAACTAGGGAGAGAGAATTCTAAAAGCACATAGGATTGAGTAGAGCAAGTTTCTGATCTTGGCCTCAGAGAATGACTTCGCAATTAGGATAAGGATATAACATAATAATCTTGCTTAGTCATTATACAGGAATTACAAAAGCGTTCTTGTTAACTCTAATTCCATAGGAACATAGGCGCTAGATTGACTTGAATAGGCTTCATCACATTGAAAACATAAGAATCTGCTCTTCTTTTGTCTAGAGTTCATTCTTTGTTTTCTTTTTTGTTTTAGTTAGTTTGGATTCAAGCTCTTTTGGTTTTAATTCTTGTTCGATAATTAAGATCGTTTAATCTAGTTAATAGTTGATAACAAGCCCTCGTGGGAACGATGCTCTACTTGCTATTTTATTACTTATCGACTGCGTATACTTGCGTGTGCGTTGGGCAGCAACAATTACTATACAAGGAGGTGGAAGGGCGTTGAGTTTAGGCTTTATGGCACAGGAACATGTCCTTTTTACCGAGGGTGATCTGAGGAAAACTAATTAGATAAAACAAGCAGTAAAGCATCTAAGCAGAGGTCTAAAGAAGGGGGAAACACATAAGTGAAATAAAGTTATACAGAGAAAACATTGTGCATAAAAAGACTACACATTGGAATCTAGTAATTGGCGCTAAAAATGATGTCAACAAGTATTTTAAACATGCATTTAACAAATAGCCTATATCTGAGAGTAGGAAGGAGGAAGAGTAAACTAGAGGAGAAAAAAGCCGAGCATGTCTCCTAGAGTACACGCGCAGACGTGCATATGTGACATAACTACATTTACACACACACATAGATATAGATAGCACATAGTAGACAGGATAATTCACCATCAAGGAAGAGTGTGTAGCAAAGGAAAAGAAGAACTCTATTCAAAAACTACACCGATCACGTTTTAAGAGAAAAAAGATATTCAGCTAATGATCATACTTGGAGGCCTATTTGGAGGCTCTGGAGCAATCCGGAACTTCTGATAGTTTTTAAGAATTTCGCAAATTTCAGCAGGGCGTAGCCATCTATGTTGTGCTTCTAAGAGTATCTGATCAATATCTGCATTCAACCACAAACTTTCTCAACATACGTGAACCAAGACCAACCAATCCTCCAGTCACAGGAGATACACTTAAAAGCCAAACAGTATGCTAGACAAACTAATACAGAAAATTATGGTAAACCTGCTCAAAGAAAAGCCGCTATGCATCTAGTAACTTTCTAATCAATATTTGATCTCTTCACTAGTGTTCCTAGCTCTAAAGTGTCTTTTTAATCTTAGCTTACTCTTTTCATGTTCTCTTCTATGACAATATCCAGCGATACCATGTTGGGAGAGTGACAATATTAGTAGTTTTGGCTTTTGGGGGTAAAAAAATACCAAGATTAATCAATCACCTAATGCTTTTTCACTTAAAGTTATGCCTGTTGGATTCTTGTGAACCAAAGCTCTATCACAACTCAAGAACTTCATATGCAAGGAAATTAACTAATATGAATAAAATCAATAACAATTTAATGCATCTAATAAAGCCAAAGCAATTTACCCAAAAATTACTGACCTAATTGAGCATTAAGACCATAACGCCTACTGTCAGCCATGAACACATACACAAACAACTAGCTCCGATCTAAACACTACTTAAAATCTTGAATCAGCAATTGAATTAACCAAAGAAAAGATTTTCGAGAACTGGGGTTGGTAAAAGAAATTCTCAAGCTGAACTGGGGTTTGGTCAAAAAGAAAGAAAGAGAGTAACTGCAGATGGGTTAAAGANTACTCATAAGAATTGGGTCAATGTTTAACGTGATTTTTGGACAGTAAATACGTAATACTATATGTATAGTGTATTTCTTATTGGCAACTTTATTTCCTGCGGGAATTTAGATTGGGTGTAACTAACTCATATTCTATATACTAGTGAGGGTGTACCCGGGCAACACTTATCTAGTATTGTTACTAATAATATTATTTTTAGATGTCACACACTTTTGCATTAAATTCGTCGCGTTAATTATGTAGATGGTGATAAATATACACTGCAAATGTAATACATTGAAAAAATAAGATATTTCATATTTGTAAATCACAATTACTTTATTTTCTCTAATTGGTTTGCCAATGGAAGCACTACTTTAATGCAAGTGACAAAAGAAAATAATACAAACGCTTAGGTAAATTTGTACTAAAGGTATCCATATTAAATAGAAAAGGATGTAGTTCGACAAGAGATCCAAGAATGTTGAATTTGTCTTGTAGTTATATAAACCTATATTGTAACACCCTAAATTTTTACTAATATTTGCATTTTCGATTGAGCATCTTTATAATGAGGATATATTTTATTTCGCACTTCCTAAAAGTGAAATTGACAATACATGAAAATTCTTTACTTTATGTTGTGTTAATATTGACAAAGAAGTTACATGGTGTTGCTATGTGTAACACTTAATATTATTTTGATGAATTGTTATTAAATACAATATATTATTAAGGTTTTTGGCTGCCACCCTTTTGTATTTATCTAGAGATATTTAGTAGGTTGGGCAGTCACGTCTTTCATATTTCTCCAAAGTTTAGCTATTACTTTGGTTGACTTGATTTTCCATAATCTCTTCTCATAATTCATTCTTTCAAGACAAAGAAAACCCCTACCCTCTCTCCTTCTTATCACCTGAAAAATTTCATGAAAACCATCAAAAATTTCCACTAAACCAACCAGCAAAACTCGTTCTTGGTGAAGCTCAAGTTGCTCTTCTCTTTTGTGGTAAGTTACTAAACCCGTTTTTACACTAGATAACTATTAGTATTTTCTTCATATCTTTTTGTATAGAGCTCTGTTTTAAGTGATCTAAGACTTTCTGGAAAGCTATTTCATAGATCTATAACTCTTATTCAGGAACCAAAATTTAGTTTTGCTTGTATTTACCCGAAAAGAGTTATAAAATACAAGGCAGGTGCTGTCCAGATTTTCAGTTTTAAAAATACTCTTTGTACTACTGTTAGTAATTTTAGCATAATTTTTTATACGAAACTGATATTGGGGTGATTCAAGATGTTCTGAAACGCTAAGACATATATCTACAACTGTAGTGAAGATCATACAGTCTAGTTTGTCTTTTTCATCTTCAAAACTGAGTCATAACACAAGACAGTGATATTGTCCAGAATTTCTGTTTCAAAAGTTTTGGGCAATTTTCACCAATATCATGTTTAGTTTGACAAGTTAAATCACTGAACTTACATAGATATTGATTATGTATTTAAGGTATATATATACCCTTGTAAAATCTAAGGGAAAGTGTTTGAGGAAGTGGACGGATTTAGTTTGTCTATGGCGTAGACGATTCGATTGTCCTCAAGGTGTGGTTGAACTGTTTTGTGGTAAAACACCAAGGTTTGTGTATAAATTTTGTACTATTTTTTCTTGCTGGAATTGTTTGAAATAACTTGAGATTTTATTTATTTTCTTTAATTTATATCGTTGTATTTGTGTTATATCAAGTATTGTAAGGTATTCGCTAAATCACCCACTCGTACGGATTTGCTTGATCATTTTGCATTCTTGTTGGGACTTTGTCCTTCTCGTGGCAGTGACTTTGTCACTCATCTTGGCATGCCTCTTGATTTGGATCTTTTGTCATCTTGACTTTGGATTTGTAGTTCGTTTTAAATTATAGAGCTTGTCCGTGTTAAGTACGAACTAGGAAGTCATTTTTAATATGGCTCTTGATTCTCTTGACTATTGGGTTTTGACCTTACTTGATTTGGGGCTTCGACCCATCTTGATATCTGATTATGCTTAGTGTGATGGCACGACGTACATATTGGGTGAAAAATGGATATTTGGCAAACTCTCTTGGATTGATAGTATACGCTTTCTCGACTCTTGAACATTGTTATTGATATTTGAAAACACTTCAAGGTTTGATATTTGATACTTTTGATATATTAGTTCACTTGTTTTAAATTATGTTAAATTTGAGCTACTTGTAACTAAAAATGGGAAATTGAAAAATTTAATGACTCCAAGCCCAAAGTTTATACGCCACTAAGCTTTATGCTTAGCGAAAGTTATTTTCTATCGTAGGTAATATACGGGATGAAAATTGAAGACGGCCTTATGAAGTAGTCTTTTTAAAAGCAATTATGGAGATCACATTTGCATATGCACCTTGGTTTTGTATAGTTTTGGGGCATGTACATGATATATATATGTCACACTTATGTATGTTATTTGGAGGCTTGTTTGATCTTAAAACCAAAATCTTGTAACTTGAATTTGATAACTTGTTTTGTTGTTTTAGGGTGTGTTAATAACTCAAGTCTTGTAATATACTGAATTTACACTTTGTCTTATAATTATGTACAAAGGAGAAAACTAGTTTTCTTTTTTATACCTGATAGTTTGAAATTTATGTACAATACAAACTTGCAGTGATGTTGAATGAAATTATAATTTTGTTAGGAAGTTGCTTTAACGTGTTGATTATTCAATAAGGGTTATATCACCTTATGTTGATATTTTGACACTGTATTTCATTTTAAAAGAAAAATTATGAAGTGTATTTCAAAAAAAAATAAAAAATATTGCACTTTGAACCTTATCGCATGAGCCTATTTTCACTACTAAATTATTCTGAATTGTTTTTAAAACTAATATCTTTTTAATGTTATAAGTTGTAAATTAGATTTGTTTCGTAAGTAACACCCTCCCAAAGGAGTTGCTACATATATTTTCACGCTACCAAAGTACATGCAAAGAACCAAACAAAGCTATACCTAATCCTTTTGATAATTTACGCTACAATGAAGCTTTACCCCGACTATGTCACTTTTTGTGCACTTAAAGTGACACTCACAGATTAGCATATATAATGGACATTTATATCTCTATCGAAATTATCAGAATGAGTAGCAGAATTATTAACTAAATGTTTGTATAGAATGAGCACATCTGAAAAAGATTTTATATGGAGATAAGGAACTATAAGAGCTAGTAGTCGTGAGTCACAGGTAATATCAAGACAAAAGTTATTTGTTTTACATCAAAGTGTACGTTCACCAACAGTACGCAAGCCCAGACACGGGTCTAACATTTGGAAGCTCCTTAGTTCAATTCTTTGTTAGCTTTATTTATATCATATTTATTTATTAAGTTGGAGTTTGTTCTTCCCACATTGACCCAAAGAAAAGGATAGTCCGTGTGCTATATTTCATATATAATCCTAATTTATCTTTAGTGGCGGGTTCATGTTACAAAAGTTAGAAAAAAAACCCTATTTACAAAATTATTATGAGATCTTCTAAAATTATATGAGTAAAATGTGGTTGGGTTTGGTGGGTGGGGGTGTGGGGATTTTATTAATTAATAGTAAACTTACAGACTTAGCCAATTAACAAAACTAATTCCAAGCATAGTTATCAAGATGAGCCTAGACAATGGACTAAAAAATGCAATTAGCAAATTAAAGGACAACTAAAGTAGTAGGCATATAATAGTGATGCAAATCTTCATATACATCACACCAATACTTTTAGCGAAAATGACATTATCATATGCTTGTTGAGCAAGTGTTTTCTCTCTTAGCAATTGTAAGATGAGCATATATCAGTCTAATATTTAAAATTCTAAAATGTACATTAAAATGATGACATCTCGACAACTCTTCATTTTGATAAATTAATTTTTATTTTTTAAATTTTTATGCATGATTTATTTTATATTTGGCTGGGAAAAGTATATACTTGCCGTCGATATTTTTGAAGACAATTGCACCTATATATTATTTTCTCATGTCCCTATAACGTCCAATTAATGTAATAGTAATTTTTTTACCAACCACATATAATTCTCTTCTTATCCAATCTAAAATAAAAAATGCGATATTTAATTTTTCAAGACTATCATCAGTACACTGGAAATCACCCCGAGTGTCCAAAATATTAGGTGTCATTAAAAATAAGTATTATGATAAAAGTTGTAATCAAACTAAGTTTACATGAAGGTGCATACTTCTTGAATGTGGAAACTCGATCATGCTTATTGTAATTGTGTGATTTTTGATAATTAGTTTTTATCATTTCCTTTTTGTCACCTATATGTTAGTGACATCAATTTTTGTTTCTAAAAATTGTAATGGCCGTAGGTTTCTGTAATACATCTTAACATCTAGAATAATCCTAATGAGTGTTTGGCTTTTATTATTATGTTTATCGGAAGGAAAAGCTAATATCTTTTCGTGCTTATTTTAGATAATATCAAGTAAGATTTAAATCCTAAATATTTGAACTACCAAAATAGTCATAAGAGTTTTAGTGGTACGTCTACTTTTATGCTTTTGCTATGTTATTTTAACAACTGATTCGATTATTTATATTGTTGTATACTTTAGTAGTAAGTGAATTATGCAATATATGACGCGCCTTTTTTACTTTTTACTTTTTCTAAAATATTACTTTAATTATTTTATGTAATATTTTAAGGGATAAGTTTTATAAATATAGATGGGTACTCTGCCTAGATAACCATGTAAAAGTCACTATTATTTTGATAATATTTTTTTTTTTGGTAAAACAGTGAAGTATTACCATTGACAACCAAATGTTTGTACCTAATGAGCACTTCAGAGAGATCTCTAAAGCCTCGAACAAGGAAAAACATCACTCAACTAATTACATAGTTGATGCCTCAAATAACTATATCTACTTGCTTTCCTAGAGTATTTCAAGTGTTCTACCCTCTCTACAATCTCTTTCTTTATCTCCATAAACACAACCTTAGTATTTACATTTATCCCTCTAAAAAGTTTCCAATTTCGAGCCTTCCATGTGTGGTAGAGCTTTGCACCCCATATTGTTGCTGCTAATTCCTTCTTGAACTGCTTCCAATGTCTGGTTTTGATCCATTTCATACATTGAGTTGTCCCTTTCCTCTGCATTCTGATACCCGACCATATTTTCAGTTCACCTTACAATTTCACTGTCCAACTACACTCAGTAAAGAGGTGTAACTGGCTTTCAACCTTGTTCTCATCACATAAGCAGCACATTCCATCATCTACTGGTATATGGAGTCGGATCAACCTCTCTTTTGTTAATAACTTCTCTTGATTAGCCAACTATACTATAAACATATGTCTAGGTAGCATAATGTTGTTCCATACTAAATCAGCTTCTAACATTTTTCCCATGCTTCCCAGTAAGCTAATATAGATTCTACTGACAGAATATGCACCATTTGTTGTTAAACAGTAGGTGTCATTATTGTACCAATTTATCATAGCTACTTTAATGGAATTAAGCTTCGTCCAGTATCAGCTGCTGTCAACAGGTGGAGTGTGAATCCATATATCGTGGTTCCCTCTCATATACACTTCATGTACCCATCTAATCCATAGTGAATCTGCTTTGGTTGCCAATTTCCAAATCAGTTTTCCAACTGAAGAAATATTCCACAATTTACAGCTTTTGATATTCAACCCCCATTCTTTCTTGGCTTGCATATCTTTTCCCAGGAGACTAGTGCAACTTTTCTCTTCTCATCTATGCTTTCCCATAAGTAATCCCGACATTTCCTATCCACTTCTTTCAAAATGCTTTGTGCCATTATAAAAATAGCCTCCCAGAAATTGTACACTGAGAATAGGACTGCATTGATAATCTGCAGCATGCCTGCGTAGGACAAGTTTTTAGAGTATGCACTTGTTATTCTGGAAGTTATTCTCTCTGCCAGCTGACAACACTCCATTTTGCTCCACTTTTTTGAAGAGAGAGGCAAACCCAGGTATCTGATTGGCAAAGTACCAAGAGAGAACCCAGTCATATGTACCATTTGATCTCTTAGGTTATCCTCAACCCCTGCTATAAAGATACTAAATTTGTCCATGTTAGCTTCCATTCATATTACATCACTGAAATGATTTAATGCCTCTATCATCCTCGCAATAGACTTTAGGTCTCCCTTACAGAATAACATTAAATCATCAGCAAACACTAAGTGAGTCAGCTTAGTATTCTTACACAATGGATGGAACTTAAAGTCAGGCAGTTCCCCCATCTTTTTCAAAATCCTTGAAAAATACTCCATGACTATTACAAATAACATTGGTGACATTGGATCTCCTTACCTCAAACCTCTTTTTCCTTCAAAGCATCCATATCCTTCTCCATTAACCTTGATTGAAGATTTTGTGGAAGTAACACATACTATGACCAGATTAGTAAATGCTTATGGAAAGCCATACCCAATCAATGTCTCCTTAAGAAATTCCCAACTAACCATGTCATATGCCTTCCTTAGATCTATTTTCATCATACACCTAGGCGATGTTTTACTGTTGTAGCGCCTAAGGATGTCATGGCATATCAACACATTATGCACTAAGGTTCTTCCCCTGACAAAGGCTGCTTGATTCTATGCAACTATACATCCAACTGCCTCTCTAAGTCTCCCACAAATCATCTTTGATATAACCTTATACAAGACATTGCAACATGATATAGGTCGGAACTGCCCTGCATTTGGAGGTACTGAAACTTTAGGAATTAATGAGATAATTATTGCATTCAGTTGCTTCAATAGGTTCCCATTGCTAAACAATTCCAGTACTGCTTGAGTTATATCATTACCTATAACGCCCTGCTTTGAAAAAGTCACTTACATACCCATCGGGACTTGGACTCTTGTTCTTGTCAATGCTGAATATAGCCTTTATCATATCTTCACTCTATAGGGCTAGACTAAGGCAACTTGTTGCCCAAGTATTAATCTAGGATCATTGTGTAAGAAACTCTTGAAAGCTCTTACCCTTTTCAAAGACTTTTTACCAAGTAAATCTTGATAGAACTCCACCAATATCTGTGCAATATCCTCTGAATTAGTGCATATGATTCTATTCTTGTCTTGCAGTTGTGTGATTGCTTGTTGCAATTTCTTATGGTCTATCACCAAGAAAAAGTATCTCGTGTTATCATCACCTAGCCTAATCCACGTTGCCTTACTTCTTTGTTGTAGGAAAATTTCAGCAAGATATGAACTCTTTCTAAATTGTTGGTACTTCTCTTTTTCAAGTTGTTGTAGTTTCTTATCCCCTGGGTGCTGCTGTAATGCTTCATGTACTTGTTTTAGTGCATCCCTGTCTTCATTAGCATCTGTAACTATATTCCTGAAATATTGCTTATTCAAATCTTTAAGACTGTTCTTTAAACTCCTCGTTTTGCTTACTACTTGGTACATCATATGCCCTTCCAGTGACTGCTTCCACACCTCCTCTACTTTGACCAGAAATTGTGGATATTGTGACCAAGTATTACAGTATTTAAATGCCTTATATCTATTGTTCTTCAAATTTAACAAAGAAATACTTACTGGACTGTGATCACTGATCCCTTTCGA